GGCTCTGTCACAAATGTGCAAATGATTATGAATCTAAGATATATAGAGTATAAACATAAAAGCCTACAGTCTACAGCCATTAACCACAATTATCAACCAGTCTGAGCAGCTCTCTTAACATATATTCAAACTATTGAAATGTTTGAGCTTTTTTGATGTTGAACACAATATTTGACTGTTTGAGTGATGAAGGTTTTGATGCTGCAATAGGAGGAAATCCTGGATGAGCTGGAGAAAACCTTGAAAGAAGCAATCGAACTGTCACTCAAGACAGATGATGACTCAATCCCAGGTAAAAAGAACACATCAAAATAAAATCACTCATGTAGCTCATTCAGAATTTTTTAAACTATGAAATATTGTTAAAATGAATCATTCAGAAAGTTGCATTAATGAATATAAAAATGTCCTTATTTTTAAAAGTATAGTGTTTTTGTTTTGCTTTAGATTTTTTTTTTCTTCAGATTTCTCAAAGAAGCTTGAGATGGTGAAGAAACACTACTCTGAGCTGAAGAGGCAGCCCTGATCAACAAGTGTTATTGAATAAACTTTAGTTAAAAAGTCAACACAATGTTTTTAAAGGACTTTGAATTCTGTATGAGTGAATTTGTTCTGAATAATGTTATCACTGCTTTTAATCACAATAGCACTGATCCAAGAGATGAACAAAAGTAGGTTTTAGTTAAACTGATGATCCAAACTGATCGTTCAATCAGATGATAGGATCTTGTGTTCACTGTGACCAGTTGTCTCCACATTGAGGTAAATGCTCACCAGTGGTTGTTGTGACAGCCCTACTGTTTGTCATCGTTGTTCAGCATGAGGCCTCTGGAGTTGGTCTTAGTCACCTTTGTCAAGTTATCATTCTTGTTTTCTTTGAGGGTTGTTTTTACATGTGCTATGACTATCTTATGTGATTTATATAGAGATTGTTTTAAATTCTTTTTGGTAGTGTAGTGGGAATTTTATGGTAGCACCCTTTCCTTTGTAGTGGCTGTTGCTTTGTAGTCCTTGTATGCAGGCATTTGTGTGATTGTAACACCAGAGCATTTATTGTCAGCCGGTTAGTAAAGATTGTCATGCCTTTGTGTGACTGCTGAACTTTTTTTTCAAATGGCTTGTATCCTATTAGAACTGGTATCTTGTCTTCCATTTGTTTGAGCCTTTGTTCCCTGCAATGTTGTGTGTGTCTATAAAAGGAGAAGTCACACTTTGTTCACTGAGCTTCTCTCATTCAGACTGTTTAGACACTCCATTTAGAGATCGCTCCTTCCTGCAGGAATAAATATATAACTTTCAGAGTTGATGTTAAGTCTATTTTACACTCACTGAGCTTCAATAGATAATTTTGACACAACAGTAGGAACATTTTGTCTATAATTGATTATATTCCAGAGCCAGAGAAAAAATTTGGAGAGACATGAATGTCATGAAACAGTTCCCAGTCAGCTTCAATCTAGGGACATTATGCAGTAGTTTGTATGGTACGGCTCTTAGTCACTACGCAACTATGACAGCCCAGAGGCTTTTTGTTTTTAGTGATTTAAACATTTTTCCTCTTGTTGAATACGTTCTCATATTTTTCCATTATGAGTTTAGTGCTGGTTAGTTTCACCTCTCATCCAAGAGGCTTCATCAGTTCATGAAGCCTCTTGGATGAGAGGTGAAACGTCTTCAACCTAGAAACCTAGTCCAGTTGATTTTTTTCTAAGTTGTTTCAGCTGTACAAACTGTAGTTACTTTTCATCACTGTCAGCAGCATCTGGAGTGTCAGATTTTAGAGTTGCCCTTCCCCACATTTAAAATTTGGCTGTTTATTGTAGTTCACATGGAAACTTATTATTCACTGTTTAGACACTTATACACAAAGCCAACAAATAAGGCAGTAAAAACACAAATGGCAAAGTGAAAAAAAAACTATAGCTAAGTAAATCTTAATACTATACTGTTGGCTTACTAAAACATTGTGCTGTTTCTTGGTTTTTAATATCAGGTCCAGTTATAACAGTTGTGTTCCTTTTTTTAATAGGAGACAACTGTGGGTCATGTTATTTAGTTCCAAATAGAAACCTTGCTGGTTTTCTTGAGACTGCAGAGATGGTTCTTCTGAAACAAAAAGCAGTAAAGAGTTGGAGACATCAGTCATGTCATAAATAATGGCAAAACACTAGCCTCAGCATGCATCACATTAATTTAATACCTGAGGAAAAAACGTTGAGATGGTTCTTCTGAACAAAGCAGCAGTACAGAGTTGGAGACAGTCATGTTGTCATAAATAATAATCGCAAGACACTAGTCTCAGCATGCATCACATTAATTTAATGCCTGAGAGAAAAAACGCTGACGCCAATAATCAGCTCAACTGGTTAATGGAGTCTATAGACTTTTAAAAATATATTTTCTTGTCCCAGCTTGTGAAATGTATTAACACACCTTACTAGAAATATTTAACCCTCAACTGTAGATTTCCCCACTTAAGGTAGGAATAACCATGTTGTCCCACTCTGACAGTATCATTGTAGATTGTCTTGTTCAAGTGGCTGCCTTTGCATCTCCTTGGATGTTTCCACCCCGTCATTCACCACCTGATCACCAAATGCCCTCAGACTTCTCCACCAGTCTCACTCTCCTGGCATCTACACCCACCTGCTCCTATTTCATTCAAGACAATGGGCATCTGTTATGTTTGCACGCTACCTCTGATAGCGTGACAGAACTCAGATGGCTGACTTCAGTTTAAGCAGGTAATTTAAGTGCTATACAAGGTAATGAGCGCGAGTACGTAGACAAATAACACTGAATAGACATAGGAGGAGAGGGAGATGGGTGCTGACAGCAGGATGGCGAGTTCAGGGTTGTTGCTGGGCCGAGCTGTGGAGCAAGAAGATCACTCACTGGCTAGTCGTGCTGAGCAGGTAGGGACAGAAGTGACGATGAGCAGGAGGGAATAGAGAAGAGAGCACCGACCTGGCTTGTGAAAGGTTGTCGGAAGAAGAATGGTGTAGGTCCGGAGGTAACGGTTCCGTGTGCGCAGTATAAGTGCAGAAAACGTGGGTGAAGGCAGGAGAGGACAAGGAGAAGACGTAGTAGGAGCAGGGGTAAAAAGGCAGGTTACAATAAAGCAGGTAAACGATCTCTGGGGGACAAAAGGGTGGCATGAGTTGTTTGTATGGAAACAAGAATGAACTGGCAGAGGGCAGGTAGAAAGGCAGGGTAAATATAGGATGTCTGGTGATTGCAGTAGTGAACACAGGTGGTGAAAAATAGCTGCCAGGTGAGTGGAAGAGAGAGGAGAGAGGCAGGGGAATCCGAGCAAACCTGACAGCTGTCCGAATTCTGTGTAGCTGTAGCCAAAAAGCTTTAAACTGCGATCAAGTACCAGCACCTAGACCTAGATGTTAGTGAAGGACTGAGGTCAAGATGTCAGGAAGAATTTGAATTATTGCTTCATAGTTGTATTACTTTGACCTTTGAGCACCAAAATCTAATCAGTTCATCCTTGAGTTTAAGTGAACATTTGTGCCAAATTTGAAGATATCCCCTTGAGGTATTAAATTAAAATTAAAACAAATGTGTTTATCAATTAATATATGATTAAGTAATATGTTCACCTATTCAGAGTCTAAACCTTCTTCTTGGGTAATAATAAAGGAGAAACCTAGAGAATTTGACTTGCACTCTATGGTCTCAATAATTTAGGCTTGGTCAGTGTCTGCTGTGCATCTCCTGTTATGTCAAACCATATTAATATAACTGTTCCAGTGAGTGAACAAACATCCAAAGGTTGAAACTGACTGAAATGTCTGAGTACTATGAACTCAGCACCATTTAATAAAGGAAACAAATCACAAGTAGGATCTCAAGGCCCTTCAACAAAAAACATCGTTGATGAATTATACACACTTAAATGCTCATGGTAACAACATTATATCACTGTCAGCGTGAAACAGCTTTTTGTAAATTTAGTTACAGCAATAATCACTAGATGTCTCTGAACAGTCAGTGAATGTATACATGCTAAAACATTACAGATAACAAAGGCGTAGTTCTTAGGCACCGGTAAATAGTTTGAACTTATTTCCCTTTAGCTATGACCTTCTTCTGGCTTTCAAAAATGTCAAATGTATCTGCCTAGTCATTAAATACTCCACATCCATGTGAGTCTTGTGTATAACAACCAGTTGCTGACACTAAAAAGTTTACACCACAACAAACTACAACAGTCAAAACAATGGTATTGTGATAGTGTATACAATCTTACATTTCTAATATTAGCTATTAGGATAATAAGGATCAAGGTGATTATCCTTATTATTCTAATAGCTAATATTAGCCATCATAATGTCATATTAGCAGCGCTTAGTGGAGATTCAGTGGTGCGAGGTCTGTGTTAAAAGACTTAAAATTCAAGTCACAGGTCAGGGGAAGTTGAGCCACGTGTTACCCCAGAGAGTGCTGCTTCTTCAGGCTGTCTGAGTGCTTCACCCTCTCCTCTGGGGTCTTTCTGTACCAGCTCCTGTGTGGAAACAGCCACTATCATGCTGAAATGACTGAAACCTCTACATTTATGCACCTTGTTGCCTTTACCAGAAGGTGATTAAAATGGTTATTACAGGTCCTTGAAATATAAACAGCAAATGAGAAATTTAATGCATAGTCTCTGTTAAGTGTTAACAATCAATAAGACCATCAACATTATGTAAGTAGTGGAGTGAAGATTGTCTTCCACATAAATCATATGTGCTAGATGAGGAAATTAGAAATTACATAAGATAAGGGGCCAAAGTTAATCATGTTGGAACAAGTACAAGTGGGACCTCACCCCTGACGGTTCAGCTGGGCTGGCACAGAAGAATTTTGGCCTTGGTTTGTCTTCAAGACTCTGGGAAAGAAATAGGTGTATTTGGAGAACTGAATTTCTCAGAACAATGAACAGGAAAATACAGCTAAAGGCAACCAACTAAAAAATATAAAGCACATAATCAAAATGCAATGGGAAAAAAAAAAACCCACAGCAGTGTTTGTCACCTGTTGTTCGTGGGGCTCTTTGGCTTCTGCTGCATCTTCCTGGCCTGTGCTGGAGATTCACCAACCCTGAAGGAAATACATCCAACAGAAGCCAGGCTGATCAATGATCTCATCATTGAAAACTTTAACACCTAAAACCAGATTCTACATGCTATAGAAGGCTGTGTTCCTCTTTCCCACCTTACCTCTTTTTCCTGTCCAGAGACCTCTGTGTAGCAGCAGACAGGACCACTCTCTCCTTGGGGCACTTGGCTTTCTCCTGCAGGTTTGACACAGTCAGGAAAGAAAGTACTGACATTTTTATAAGGTTGTGGAGAGGAATAGTTCAACAAGTCAATGATCCCAAACATTCAAAATATTAAAAAAAAACCCATAAGGATAAGATCTCGTAAATGAAGGGCATGCACATTGTCACAATACAAGTGTAAGACAAATTGTACAAATCCTTCGACAGAACATTTGAAAACCGCAATTCTTCACAAAAGAGTACAAATTATCAGAACTTAAATAAATATACTCTGTATACAAAAAAGTGTCAAATATGTACAATCAGAATATAACAAGAGCAGAGAACAATATAAAATATTAAGAATAATAAACAAATAAAATATAAAATAAATATTCTAAATAGCACAAATCCTTCATCCCACAAATCACACTAAAGAAAATCTTATTATTACACTGCACTAAAAACACAAACTAAAACTAAAATCTGACCTTTCAGGCCTTCCTTGATGCAAAATCATCAATAATGTCATCATACGAAATCTGCTCCCCTATTGAGTGATTGATACTGATGATAGCAAGGCCAGTGAGCCGTTCCTGAGACATGGTTGACCTCAGGTGTGACTTGATCAACTTAAGTTTTGAAAAGCTCCTCTCTGCTTGAGCCACAGTGACTGGCAGAGTAAGTGCAATCCTGAGAGCAGTCCAAAAGTTAGGGTAGATCTCTGATAGATCCTTATCTTGCAGAAAAGTGATGAGCTCAAGGAGGCTCATGGTTTTTGGGGCCAACATTAACCTGAATGATGGAAGCAAATAATAACTGTACTTGTAACAGTTTTGTTGCAAAGCACAATTTTCTGGTGAAATTAGATCTTGTGTCAAGTAAAGACCAAATTATTGTTGTATAAGCATAGCAAGCATCATCGCAAGAAGGCTAACAAATGTAAGAGTTAACGTTATACCAACAAGGAACATAGAGAAGGTTTGAGAAATACAGGTCTGTGTATTGTACAAACATACAGTCACTCACACATACCCATACCCACCAGACTTAGCCTTGCCCGAGGTCTGCTAGCTGTCCAGGTGGGGCCCAGCAGATAGATGGGAGGCTGGGCAGAGGGAGAGGACGCACTGGAACTGGCAGGACTGGGAATCCCTGGATAGAGAAAAACAGATACTTCCCATTTAAACCTGCAGCTAGAATGGGTACAACTTATACTGCATATGTTAGTGTTTTAGCAGTTACTGTTGTGTTACTGAGAAATTTATAAAAATGGGAAATCCACTTGCCCGGGGTTCGTAGTTTTCTATGGCTGTGATGACAGCAAAAGCAAACAAACAAAAAGCTAAACCGATACCCTTTATCAAAATAACAATAATATAACCATTATTGTCTGAAATCCACTCACCTATTACTTCACTTTATTTTTTGTTATTTTGGCATAACGTGTCAATCACAGAGTAGAGAGCCAAAGTTCTTTTCAAACTATCCTCTGTTTTATTATTCTGTTAGTGTTCAACAACTAAAAATAATAGTTTATTTTGTTTAAATGTTTACATCAAAAGTTGCTCAGATATTACTTTCCTGTAGAGTATTAGATGCAACTTTAGCCCAGAATATGGACAGAAAGCTCCAGTAACACATTTTAGGTTTTCAAAAACGGCAATTAAAAAACCTTATAATAGAAGAAAGAAAGTTTTGGCAAGATTTCTCCAGAGTTCATGGACTGTGACACTAATCAGTCTCTGAGCATGCAGTCTTTTGTCACCACTCAGTGATTAGTGAGCATGGTGAAGTGGTACCTATACTGTGTCCAGATGATCGCTCAGATGGTGGATATGCAGCATTTGGTCCCAGACAGGGGGGGCTCACGACAGGACAGCTGCCACTCCCAGACCTATGACTCCAGTCACAAGCATCTGCATCGGGAGGCTGCAGACAGCTCTGCTCCTTCAGTCTCCTCTCTGTCTCCTCAAGCTCCTAAACACATGCACACACAATACATGCACACAACTGTCTTTTATTTTAGTCATGTTCACAATTTAAAACAACATGTACATATAAATGCACACATAAAGCATAACATTGTCTCTTTTGCTATGGAGCAGGCACAGAACAAAAACCAAAAAAGAATAAATTAACACTTCTGTATTGCAACTAAACAACAAAATACATTTATCAAGTTTTGTTGTTGCTTTTCTTGGCAATTTGTAAATAACTGACAAAACTGAACAAAAAAACGTTCTGGTATCTAATCTAATTAGTGGATAATGTGTGATTCCATGCTCTGACCATGCGGAGGCGCTGTTGCTCTTTCTCCTGCTCAGCCAGCAGCAGTGACATCTGCAGGGTGTGTTCTTCCTCCAGACGCCTTTGCATGTCCTCCAGAGCCTGCACTCGCCTCTGTGTTTCCTCTGATGTGCACAAACAAACATACATAAAATCACTCGTCTCTTGCCTTTTAAAGGTTTTCTCATTTTCCTTCACATTCTCTGCCTTTCTGTCACACAATATTTACAGTGTGCACTAAGGAAATGATAAGAGACTTGCCTGTCTTGCTGGCTTGTGTGTCATTTATGAGGACACTTGGTGTGATCCTTCCATTGTGTGACCCCTTGACGTCCCCGTGAGGCTCCATTCGGAGAGTGACCTGAGCATCAGGAGTCACATGAGGCCTCAGCAGAGATGGCGAGGGATTCTCAATGTCATATGACTGGTTCAAGGTGGTGCCAGGAGTCCGCCGACTGGGAGCCAACCATGTAACTCCTGCCATGAAGCGAGGGACCCTTTCCTGACTGTGGTCTACGTGCTCGACTCTAGAGTGGTAGGCATGTAGCTGGCTGTCCATAGTGTGGCAGCGCCGACGAAACCCTGCAGCCACATGGTCATGGTGTCCCATTGGGCTAGGTACTGAGGCACTAATAGGGCTGCAGGCCTCCTGCACTGGAGTGGTACCACAATGACTGGATCGACGGTTGCCACTCCTGCTAACACCAACCCTACCTTCACTTCCCACTGAGCCCCACTTAGAGGACATTGTTGCTCCTGCGAGAGCTTCTCCCCCATCTGTCACAGCAGCACCTTCCCCTGACTTTCCTGGGCTTCGGGGGATAAGGTCTGCTGGGCCAATGGGAAATGAAATATGGATGTTGCCTGTAGAAACTGGACGTGGTTTGCGTCTCTGCACACAGGGACTAATGCTGGATGCTGGACTGGGGAGATGAGCATACCTGTCAGGTAAACAAGGTGAGAGGGAGCCAGACTGTTGAGGCTTAGGGTCATATAGCGTCTGATGCTGGATCTGGGTCTGAGGGGAGCCAACAGGGCTATGATGCAGACTGAATCCAAACTCAATCCCAGTGTGACTCATGGGACTACAGCTGTTATTCTCCTTGTCAGAGACAGTCTCAGACATAGGCATCCGGGTGACTGTGTGGACAACCTTTGAGCCCTGCTGACTCTGCTCTCTCTTCACATACTCTCTTGATCTCTTAAGAAGGCTGTCCAAACTAATGTCTTCATCCTCCTCTTCTTCCTCCTCACTCTTTTCCTCCCTTTCCACCTTCAGTTCCTCCACTGCCTTGTATCCGTTGAGAATAGGGGTCTCAGAGCATGGAGTGTCGGGCCGGCCATTTGTCTGTAGTCCAAATCCAGGGTCTCTGGGGAGTCCAGGTGACTCAGAGACCAGTGTGTAGCCACTGTCTGTCGCAGACTTAGAAACTAACAGCTTGCCAGCCTCTTCACCTGGTCCTTTATGTACCTGTGCAGATGTAAAAATCATGAATCATTAAATCATTTCTAAAATCTAAATCAATATTAAAGAAAGATCAGCTGGTGCATTGTACAGTACACCCTGTTTCATGATAAGCGCATTGGTTTAAAGTATCATTCATCACTGAGACATACAAGCAATATAAAAAAATCATATAGTCCAGTGCTGGTCATGTCCAATATGAAAAATCTAAGCAAACCTACAATGAATTTTAATGGAGACACTGGATATTTGAATGCTATTTCCACTCCTGTCATTACTCTCTTAGTGACACATTTGTCTAGATCTATTAATCAGATCAATCTGAATTATTGATGCTGGTTTTTCAGTAAAAATATTTCAACATTACTGAGTTTTGGTTGTGGTACAAACACATCACAGATGCTATAGCAGCTACAGACAATAACTGACTGATCAGCTTGATTTGAAGACCAGAAATGTCATAACTACAACAGACCTGCAAATGGGCATTCCTAGATATTATTCTGGATGTTGAGTTCAGCACCAACCAGAGAAGAAAGTGTTGAATCAAGAAACTTGTATTCAAGTAAGGAAATTGTTGGTGTGCTATATCATGGGAGTGACACACAGACCTGTTTTACGTTTGAATATTGTAGATGAAGTATGTTAATAAGATAGAAGTATTCTTTTCTGAACAGACCGCAGTAAAATCTATGATGCATAACTTTCAGAAATATTCGGATGTGGCATAATATTTACTTTTTCTCTAGAATTGACTGCTATGCTATTTAATTCCACATACTGAATGCACACTTTAAGCCTAAACCATATCACAGTTATTTCACAAAAAGCACCTGATATTCCTTTTTCCACTGTATCCCCCCATCGGACCACACCCAGGCCTGTGACCAGGACCGTGCTGTGCTACTGACCTCAGCTTGATCCAAAATGTCCTGAACTCGGGCCAAAAGCTTGTTCCTCTGCTGCTTCTGTCTGTCCACTTCCAGCTGGATTGCCCTGCGTCTGTGGCCACACATCTCACCGCGCTGCTCTGCAGTCAGCTGGAAAAAGAAAAATACACACTCTTTTTTAGCCATGATTCAAACACTCAAACCCATTGAGCTACAGCTGATACACTTTCCTAACTCACATACATTATGCAAGCAACATCATCACACATGGAAAAAAGATAGAGGAACTCTTTTTGATACACTTTTTTATGAGGCTTGCAGTTTATTCCCAGTTAGTACTGATGACACTTTTATTCCAGTATATTTTTGCATTTCCTTTATTTGATTGAGAAATACATTTTGTCACAGCCTGGCAGTTCCTGAAAACTAATTCTGTCAGCAGTCTCCAGCAGATGGATTCTCCTGACTAACGTCAGACAGCCTTGATGTTCCTCATCATCAGTTATCTCCTCTCCCTTCTTCTGCCAACTGCTGATCTATTTGGGACGAGTTAGCCCACACTTTTCTGAGACATTATGCAGGTCTCACAAATAAATGTTTTCCATAAATCTTACCTTGAATTTAATTTAAACTGTGTGAGTTTGTATCTCTGTGCACATGTTTTTATGTGAGCCCAGTATGTACTGTATCACACAGACCTTTTAGTTGATGTAACTAAAAAGTTTAGCTATGCTTCATGTTGTTGTGCAGCATATAGATATAAAAACACAGGAGAGTAACTGATACAGATTCTTCCAGGGAAAACAGCCAAACATTGTGTCATTAAAAAGCAGAGTCATCTTTGTGGCAACAAATGACTTGCTCTTGATATCAAGCCATTTGCAAACCTCTTAAAATATTTATGGTTTCTTTTGATGGAGGAACTTTGTTTAGCAGCATCATGTGTTGCCCTTTTAGCATATGTTCTCATGCTTGTTTATATCTTTTTACCAGGGGTGAAAGCACAGCTCTTCCATGGAAACGGATGACAGAGCGAGCCTTCGGGGAACACAGTGGCTCACATGTCGTCTTCCTGAATTTCCCCTCCTCCTGCAGTATGGCCAAACTCCGTAGGCAGAACTCCTCATAGCTTTCCATCTCTGGACACCCACACATCCATACTCTGAACAGGAAACACACACCATGTAGCCTCGTCACCCAGCTGTTAAATTGAATGGAGAGTGTGGGATTAGATGGGGACCTCCACAAAGCAGTGCACATGAGAGCTCACACTGTACTGGGTGTGGATCAGTAGAAGAAACCATCTGGGATCACAAGTGGAAGAGCAGGACAACAAACAGGGTCTGTCTGCTCTTAGTGTTTTTATCCCATTCATCACATTCCTGCCATTCCTCTCTATCAGACATTGCTTACTTCCATTTCCGTGTCTCATGCAGATAGATAGATAGAATCGCATGACTAATCAATACAGTGTCTATTTGTGAAATGCCTGTCAGCAAATGGATAGTACAGACCCTTCCAAGACAGGTAGTGTAACACAGGGCGTTAGCCTGGGCACACGGCGGATCTATAGCCCGCATCATTTCAATAAAAACTGCTTTGTGATCAGTAGGACACTGTCTATATAGAAAGTATCTATTATTATTAAAACTACCATCTATCGATTAGGTCTCAATTATTGTAACCCGGTGTCCTTGCTGATGGTTCCAGCATAAACCAGTGATCTTCACTCGTTTAATTGTCCACATTGTCTCATTGCAGTCTGTAACAGCACAGCCGAGGTAGGAATGGTTTTGTTTTGCTATTAAGGAGCAAGCTTAATACCAACGGTTTTGAATGTATAACCTAAGAAATGTTAGATTTTACATCATCTTTTGAAGCCAGAAAGATGTTTTAGTGCAGATGTGCCCTAGCTGGTAGATGGACGGTTGATAAACCCGTAATTGTGACTCGTTGCTATTTCCTTACCTTGACACTGTTGAGAACGTGATATCTCCGTTAGAGGCAAATGTCACAGAGAAACAACAACGTGACAGCGATCATATGAACCCTGTTCTCCTTTTAATCCCGGGTTGCCCATCATCATCTTCTTTTTTAACTCTTCCGGGCTTCAACAGCGCCTCCTAGCAACAGCACGCAGGCCACGTTCCAATACGTCTACGCGATCTTTTCACGTCGCCTTCTCGAAAGATAATATTTTGAAAATATTTTAATATATAACATATTATTTCAACTTAATTCATGTACAGATCAATTAAGTTAGCTATAGAATGTTTTTCTGAACTGATGTGACTTTTTTTACCCAGGGTGGAAAAGAGTAGTAAGGAAACTCCAAATCAAAGTCAAGGATGAAGCCATGAGCTAATTGTAACACGATCTTTGTCGAACACTTCACAATTTAACTCTGCATCTAAAATCACATTATTTTTGACACATAATAAAAGCAACACTTTAAGCAATAGACTATACCAATTATACAATAGTTTCTTAGTATACAATAGGTCTATTTCTCTAAAATTATAATATGAAGAATAAATGATTACAACTGTGTTTTGCTATATTGTCATTCATTATCACTCTATACACAACCCTCTACGTTTTAGTGCTTGCGGCCCGAAGTTAAAGCTAATGACAAATATATCAATAATTACCCATCTCTACTTAATACTGTACTGTACTACTTACTACTGTACATTATAATATGTTTAAAAAACAATTTATAAAACATGTATTTACTGCTTATAATACTATGTAGGGGACTTAAAGCAAGGTCCCATTAAAATATGCTAATAGATATTCTATTTCTCATCACAAAGTTAATCCACAGGACCCAGGGGGCAAAATTTTTTTTTGATGGGCCCCCTTTGCAACTCCAGTATTTAATTTAAATTAAAGTATGATGTTAATTTTTTTTTGTTGTTGTTTGTTTGTACTATGTCATATTTTTAGTCATTGTGATTTTAGTTTGCAGCAGTGCATGGACAGGTGCTCATTTAATGTGTCTGTATTTGTTGGGAGGTTTCTGGAGCAAAGCGGTGGTTGACTGAAAACATTACTAAGCTAAACTAACATCATGTTCAGTTCAGCTGTGATGACATAGTGCATTCTACATGAGGAAATATGACAGAGAAGATACAGAATCTGTCATTATAAACTCAATTCAATATACACTCAGTGTCTGTGGCTGATTTAATTCTGTAATAAACTGCAGTGGAGCTGAAATCACCTGTGTCATTTTACATCGCTGTCAGGTGACGTCATACGAGGATAATGTGCATCCCAGGATAATGGTTTTAAATAAATAATACTTTTTATCTTTCATTGATATCTTTATTACACTGGCACTCAAAAACACAGTATTGTCATAACAAACTATTGCACATTCAGTGGCAAACAAAATAGCATCTTACTTCTCACAACTCATCCTGTGAATGCACAGGCGACCCTGAATGTACAGGCCGAGCAACACGCACGTTTTCTTTGTTGTCCCGAAGTAGAGCATCAATGTCACCTTCTTTAAATGTGGTTTTGGAACCCTGTCACAAAAGTTGCATGATGTTAGTTCTTATAAAAGCATTTTAGTTGAATTAAATGGGTATTAATGTTTACACTATGTCTATCTACCATATCAAAAGTGACATTATACCCACAGCATACCTTAAAAGTCTGGTGTTTCACTCCTACGCATGCTGTGGATTGCTTGTAACACAGAACTATAGCTAAATGCCTTGGTTCATTATTCATCAACGCTGTATGGAACTGTTCATAGTGAGACTCTACATGAGGGTTCAAGAATAAATTATTAATTAGACTGTAAAAATGTAATCACTGTGCAGACATTGTTATTTCGTCCCGGTTTTACCTATCAAGCGAATGCAGGAGGATGTCATTTTGTCCACAGAGACGTGATCATGTTTGTAGGACAGCAGTTTCTCACACACACCCCCATTGATGAGGTTCTCAACCACTGTCTTTCTGCTCTCAGCTGGAACATCTTTCATGGCTTTCGCTATCTCTGGAGAAAGAATGCATACATTTACTTAGTTCCTGTGTTTTACAGAAAATATAAGGTGATATGAGCAACATGCACCTCAGTTACAGAAAATTAAAACATTAATGCAAGTCAAAGCAAGAATCACTTAAGTGATAATTCATTGTATATCATTTTAAACTATTGTTACTTGGGCAGGTGGGACAGTTATCTACAATACCTTGTGCTGCTGTTAGACAACTCTCACAATAGGCATCTGGTAAAAAGAAAACAGTCAATAGGCTAGAGCCTCTGTCCAACAGTAACCATAACTACTCAAACTATTATGACTGGAAACCAAGTTAACAGGACTGTAATGTTTCATTTACTTACAGCGATCCATGTCTTCAGTCTGCACAAGTAGAAGGTGGCACACACACATTACAAAAATTAAGATTTTCATATTCAGTGACTGTTGAACAAACATGTACACTGAACTAACAGGCTAAATCTCAAGAGACGAACAGTTAGAGCAATGACCTGTACACAAGCTAAACCACCTTCCCTTTCACATAATCTGTCCATGTTATTGGAGACAATGAGCACATCACCATCATTCCACAAATGCAAGGTGTCCAGTTTTTCAGCTTTTCTCTGTTTGCCTAATGTTGCTTAGAGACTGAGTCGTTTCTTTGCCTAATGTTGCTTAGAGACTGAGTCATTTCTAGCCTTTGAACAAAGGTCTCAAAAGCACTGTGAAGTCCAAACACACACTCTCTTTATTACCTTTGACCATTTGTTTCTAAACAGGAGAAACAAACGTTAAACACATTAAACTAAACAAGGTACCTGCATGTGTCCCCCAACTGCCTCCTTAAGACCAATTTTTGAAGATATTCCTAGCCTCCATATGAGTTTAATTGGTGTTGAGCTGCAAAAATACCAACAATAGGCCTACCAAATTTCTTCAGTGTGTTTTTTTTGTTTGTGATCACTAATCACGCAGTTTTTTTTCTTTTGGTGGACTTTTTCACAATATTTTCCCAAAATCTTTTTCAGCTTAGTTTCACATTAGGGACAAATTAAACTACACTTTAACACTTCTTGTTCTTGTTCCTCCTCATCATCATCATCATCATCTTTCTTCTTCTTCTTATCACTAGTAGTAGTAGCCTAGAACTACTTTTTGATGTCTTTATTTATTCACTGTTAGTTGTTGCCCTTGTTTTTGACCACTGGATGGTGCTGTTTTATAAGGATAGCAGCTCCATGGCGTTTTGACAGATCCCATATATGGACATTTTTACCATATTAGGACTGACGCATGTGACGCATGACGTAACGGAAGATGTGACCGTGTGCGGGAAAGGCGAACGTTAGAGCAAGGTCCTCCTTTCAGGAGTAATGCACAACTGCTTGTGAAGCTTTAACAAACTGGATGTAATTATCTACAGACAAACCAAACTGACACCCATCGGCGTGTAATGCACAGTTAGAGTCAACATGTAAGTAGTAAAACCCCTGTAATGATTACTATGTCGTGTAATTTAACACGTGCTGTCCAGTCACAAACTTGTGAGAGGCTACAACGTCTCCAGTCTAATCTCTGAGTAGTTTTGTTTTGTGGTACAGTGCGTCTGGGAACACGTGTTACATCTTCCTGGACTTTGTTGTGCTGTAGGACTTAGGTCTTACCTGCAGAGCTTTTACTGATAGGAAACGTAAAGAAACTCGGAGACTGACTTCGGCTTTTGTTTTTATCGCCCGGTAGACTGGGCCAAATTCTTTGGTCACTTTGGAGAGTTTGTCTGTGGGTTAACTGAACATACCACTAATAGCGGGCTTAGCCTATTAAAACTTCACTGCAAGCAGTCAAATTTCAGTCGACACCCCCTGGCTGTTGTGGCTTTTTCCTTGAATTTTATCAGTCATGGTAGAACGTCATTGGTTTATCCCCTGTACACTTCCGTTTTCGTTTAATCCCATTGGATACTTGCATTGTGTGAGTCAGTTTTAAGCCTTTTAGTCAGTTTGTAGTCTATGCGTGAACTGTAAATAAAACTGTTGCATAGGCCTATTAGCAGCAGTTTCGATAGAGGTCTTATCTAGGCTGAAACTGGGTGGGAACAGTAGTCTGACAGAGGGGACAGTCTGCCTTCTGCTGTGAAATCCAAAGTCAGTCCAATTTATTTGGACTGCAGACGTCTGACCAGCAGATGGCGCCTCTCCCAGCATCTCCATGTGTCTGTATCAGTAATATTTTGATTTATGGAAAATGTCCTCCTGCGGCTGATCAGCTGCAGAGAGGCCATAGCAGCCCCTGGTGCTGACTGAATTTAGTGGCTTACCTGATGCTGAACTATGGACCTGAAACAGTCAACTTAAAATGTGTTTCAAAGCAATGCTACCCTGCTTTCAACATAGAGGCTATATGCATATAATAATAGTAGTAGTAGCTGCGCTTTTGCAAGGTCTGGAAGAAGTGCTCAGGTGTAATGTAAGTGTAGCAATACTAGTATAAAAATACTGTTAAAAGTGCTGCATTCAAAATTCTACCAAAGCAAAAGCACAAACATACTTAAAAAAGCAAAATCTGAATTTGCCATTTTTGTAGTGTTAAATAATGGAGCTCTAAAGTCTTGGCAGATGATATTTTTATCTTGTGCACACCACTGTTTGTACACAAGTTATGTGCAGCATGATTTTTAAAATCTTTTCATGGACTTCAGGGTATCTCCTGTTTATCATTCTTATTAGAAACTGATGACTTCTTAGCATAGCTATACCCAACTCCAACCTGAGTAGGTCTAACCAGACAACTCAAAGCGCCAGTGTTGTTATCGGACCATTAATTTATAACAATGCATCATGTTGAGTAAAATAGTCATTCATTTGGCATGGAAAGTCAAGGTAACTAGTACCAATAGCTGTTAAATAATGTAGTGAAGTAATAGTACAGTAGGTCTCTCTGAAATGCATTGGAGTAGAATTACAGCATCAACTGTTATAAGTAAAGTAAGTACTGAAGTACAGTACTTGAATAAAACAAATGTGTTTATTTGATATGAATGCATCTACAATTAAACTATCTTCATTTGTAGTGATCCAGTTCCCTGCAATGTTTCTCTTTTCCTGCAAATCGTTTGTCTGACTAGTTTTTACAGACAGTATTTTTGCTACAGGCCAAATGAAGAGGCAACAAGGGTCTTAGCACTGTGATTATTCTTGATCTGGATTTTATCGCAAAGGAGATTGTTTGTTTGATTATGGCAACATGATCAGCCTGTTGGTTGTGATAAAACTTGAACCAGTCTGCAGTGTTGTTGTAATATTTGCTGTATTTATTCTGTTTGTCTGTTGTGACTGAACAGCTTTATGCCAGTGATATTTTCAGTCTATCATTACCAACTATATTAGTTCCTAATCAAGATATCGTTGGTGTTGTTTCACCATGACTCAACAAAGAGAACACTTTTTTTGCTTTGGTTTTTGCTTTTGGTTCCATTAGTCATATCCTTTTGGGGTCTGGTCAAAAATATGTGTTTACATAACAGAGAGAAAGAACAACATTAGTTGCCAGAAATGTTTTTAATATAGTACAATAATATGGGCAAGACAGATGTCAACATCTTTTTTTTTCACTAATATAATAAATACTGGTCGTCTGTGCCTCATCGAATTAATAACATATATTACTACTGCTACCTCTAATCTCTTATTCATGCCACCAGAACTCCATTTGACGTTTTTTTTGTTGTTGTTGTTTTGTTTTGTTTTTTGAAGGGCAGATGCAGGGACCTTGAAACCCCCCCAGGGGGGCTCAATGTCAGCTATAACAATAGGGCACTATCAGTGCACGGAGCACCAGTGGCAGTCCGGGGCACGCCGCCGCAGCTGTCCTGCTCTCCTCCAATAGATTTAAAGTGAGCGGTCTGGCCGACAATGGAGGCTGGGAGTGGGAGGATCAGCTCGGCACCGATCCTTCTGGCTTTGTTACGCCAGGGAAGCCATTTTGGAAATCTGCTTGTTGTGCACTAGCATAACAGTCAGTGGCTACTTGTAAACTTTGGTGTCCTCCTACTAGAAAATCAGCGCTAGGATCTGTGGGTCCACAGAAATAAATACCCTTTGCGTTTGCGTGCGTCGGGATGTTGGCCAACGTTTGCGCATCTCCAGTGATAGTAACGTGAGGATCTTGTTCCTGTGGATTTCGCTCTTTTAAAAAATAACAACATACATGGACTCTAACCACGCGGGCAAGTTGACATGCTTTTATAAATAATAACATCATAGACGTTAATGCAGCTGGAAATTTCTGTTGTGGTTGTGTCATTTTCTTCTATTGGGGTGTGTTTGTACTTGCTGAGCCCCTTTACCCACAACTGTTTTGACAGCGAACCTCGATCTCAGGCCTTTTTTCTAGGCTGAATTTTACAGACCTGCGACATTACGGGTATGTAATGTAATATCCACCATTAATAGTGGCCGGTGACCGTGTGTAGTAACATGTACGTGTTAAATTTGTCTGTATAATAAGAAACGGGAGTAGTGCGTCGTTGCACAAGCCCGTAAGTCAGCGCGTTCATGAATGACGGACAACAACGGCGTTAATACTCGAAGCCTAAATTTAGCCCTGGCTACGTGAGACTCTTAACAGCTTACACGTCATTTGGCCGGATACTGTGCAGTTATTATTAAACTAAGTGCGTGTTTCAGACGGCACCGGTGTGGAACATTGTCTTGACTGTAGTGGATCAGCCTCAGCCCGCCCGTCGCAGGTGGTGTGCGTAAAGGAGCCAGCAATGGAGTGAAACACAAGGCGGAGAGAAAGGTGTCACTTTGTTGCATGTGCAGACTGGAGGTGTGTGTTTGCAGGGCGCTGTTGTTGGTCAGCCTGTCTCTGATTTTTTAGCTCAAACGTCTAGTGCCACAGTATTATAAAAAGCAGGCTGTTGTCTAAGGGAGGGACACTGTCCTCTCCTGTGTCCCCAGTCCCTGTTGCCGTAGTTCTACCCCAGCTGATGCACTGTATTGGGTGGATATTTAGTTGTGGAGTGCCCACGTTCAGCTCTTATAGCGTGATTTGTTACACCAAAAAACTAATCCTGGCTGAATTAAAGTACTCTCCGTGGCTTTTGGATATTTGTCTCTGTTTATTCTTCTTTCCAGTTTGGAGACTTGACTGCTGATTGAGCTATGATTAAGATTATTAGTTTGGATTTTGGTGCTGGACTTAGGAGAAGTCATTTGTTTTTTGTGCCGCTCCATCTTTGCATTATTTTTGTGTTTGGCTGAAGTTGGAGTGTCCTTTAATGCTCATAATATATGAGGAAGTGTTGGTCACATGGATGGAGTGGTACTGTTTGCAGAGTTGTTAGGATGAGAAAATCCAACAGTCAGATACAGTTATTGCATTCTTTGATATGTAAAGCATGAGTTAAACCTTTTATATGAATGGGCTGTAATCATCCTATTTTACCTGCATTTCTATAGATGACTTTTGCAAGCTATTAAGTAGACTTGGTCATTTTGGCCTCTCGCAGCCGGTACTCTCAGTTGGCAGTTTATTATTTATTACACCTAAATCAAACTAAGCCAGCCTAATATAGCAGTGCTGCAACAACCTGTTATAATAGTGAAAATGTTCAGTTTGATGGAGGTTTAATTGTATGGTTCTTTTAGAGGATGTAGTTTATGGTGCTACTGAACTATACTGCATTAGACAGAGAGGTGTTTTGGTTATTCAGGCTTATCACTAATATAAATGGGGCGGACACAATAGAAATTCCTGTCATTATAACAGTATTTCCTATAAAATGACCAGCGTTAACTAACAGTAGACAGAGAGGTGTTTTGGTTATTCAGACTTATACCTAATATAAATGGGGCGGACACAATAAAGATTCCTGTCATTATAACAGTATTTCCTCTAAAATGACCAGCGTTAACTAACAATGTTTCAATACAGAGTGAACATTATGACCATCATAAAGATATCGTAGCACTGTTGTATTACACTGCATTAGGTTTAGCTAGGTGTATATAAGAAGCTAGCAACTGGTTGTATTATGGTAACATGGTATTTATTTGCTCAGCCTGAAGGCTCCACTATGAGAAGCTCATCCCTCTGGGTTGTTTCCCGCCTGCTGCCTGTAACTCTGCCCCACCCCTTGCTGTGTTACTTGGTTTCATAATACTGCCTTTCCTGTGTGTGGAGCGTGCCCAAGCAGTCACTGTAGGAATAGCTGGCCTGGTGAGGAGTCTCCTTAATGCGAAGGCGAGAGAGGATCATCAATCTCTGTGTCCTGTCTCTACCAGCCATTCCGGTTAGTTGTCATCCGTTTGCCGACCAGAGAAGAAAAGACAATTCATTCATTGCAGCGTCATTGGCGTCTGCGGCTTCTGTCAACAGCCAGACAACATGCAGGAAGAGGTTGGCCAACTCCCATCCACAGTAGTATTGTTGTGTTCCTGGGGAAAAGGGGTGTCCAGCGACTCTCGTTATGTACTACGTGGGCAGTGTTCTCTGACATGGTTGTAAACAGTAACTGGTGGTTGTGCTTTCATGGAGAGCAGCCCAGTGGATAGTGCTACGTTTTTTTTGGGAAGAGGCATGTGATTATTTTTTTTATTTTTTATTTTTTTATTTTTTATTTTTTTTCCCCGATTTGTATGGAATGTAATGTGTAGCTGCAGTTCTGAATTTAGTTTTTAAAATACAGTGGCAGAACTTGAGCTTGTTAGTAGAACTAAACTGCAGGAGACAGGCTGGTCAAAGCAGTGCATGCACTTTCAGGAGTTTGTATGAAAGTTAGTTTGTGCTTGTTATCCCCCCTCTACCATGTTAGCTTTGGCTTTAAGGAGTCCTGTTGCACCCTGACTCTTGCAGCCTAAACAAAGAAGAATGACCATGGATTTTTCCCAACTGCACACATATACACCGCCACAGTATGCTCCAGAGAACACCGGCTATACCTACTCTCTCAGGTGAGACCTCAAGCGCTGTGCTGTGCAGCATCCAGCAGTCAGATTTAGAGCCTGCCTGTCACTCGAGGCAGCTCAGAGAATTAACTCAGAATTGATCTAAATTGTCTTTGAGACCCTGCTGTTGCATTTTAATCCCCTTTAAGGCTTTGCAAGTTTAGCATCAACCAGCTAATTCATATTCTGTTTGCTCTTGTCTTGTCTTCCCTGAGCACTATATGCTGTCAACCTTAATGCTGTTATAATAATGGTTGCCAGTTCACTTAGGTCATTATGACAGTGAAATATAATGAAATCTGTGGTTTTGATGACTCAGTTTCTAATGATTCGTTTGGTGTGTATGCGTACAGGGAATTTGGGGATACTTGACTTGGATAAACTCTAGATTTCTCCATACAGTACTTTTTAATGCTGCAGCCTTTTGCAGCTTGTGACAAGTTAAAAGCATCACTATCAGTCTTGGGTTTACAGTGCCCCTGTAACACCTGACTCTCCCATCATGCTCCTCATCCATTCATTTCTTCGTTCGTCAGGCTCTTGGTCATCACAGCTCGTACTGTAGGTGTGGTCGACACTTCACGAAGAAGGTCTGAGCATGTGCAGGAATGTTGTTGTGTCCTGTGCTGTCACTGTTGATGTCGGCAGCTCTCAGAGCACAGAGAGGCATGTGGGTGTGTAGGACATGAGGTGAAATATCACCCTGCGCTTAACTTGGTTTACGACTTTAGAGAAAGAATTTATTATGTGTCTTCTGGGGGTGGAGGCCTTCCATCCATTAAGTGAGAGTATGCATGTGCCTCGTTAAAAAAACAGTTTGAACACGGACCATTGGGTTAACAGCTGAAGTAGAAATGCAGAGCACAATGTGAAACTGCTGCCAACAGACCTTTCTGCTCAGGTGAGGTTGCAGTCTCTTTAAATAATTGTGTCTCTGGCACACATGTGGCAGTTGTATTAGTCGCCTGCTATATTTATTGTCAGCAGGCAGTGTTTATATTTTATAGGTTGTGAGCACAACATTGGTGCACAGTGCCTGTTGGGTGCTTTCATGTTGATGCAGAATGGCAGGTAATACTGTGGAACTCAGAGTAGACGTGGAAGATACATGACCAAGTAGCAACCTAATATCCTACTGATATACATGACCAAGTAGCAACCTAATATCATATCATATCATATTCAGGTCAGTTTTGTAGCATCCGAAGTACATTGCAGATCTGTGAACTCCAGTCTTGGTAAATAGTCTGATGAGTGACACTGAGGCAAAGTGAGATGAATGTACAAAAGGTTGTTTGACAGCCTGCTGGAATCTGCCAGGTAGGCTGAAAGGCTGGAACAAGCTAATCATGTTCTGTTGGATACAGTCAGTTGAGAGGCTATTAATTAACCTGACAGTCACAACTGTGACCTTGATCCCGGGATTAGACTAAGAGTTTATGCTTCTTGACTAGCATGCTGAGAGATCTGTGTTTATTAACCTGTGTTGACTGCAGCTGAGAGGCTAATGAAACGAGAGAGAGAGAGAGTTGCATGTCTTTGTCTGAGCCTATATTCTAAGTAAATATTCCAAGTTCAGATTATCAACCTCTCTGTGTGACACAGCTGATTGTGTTCAGACAGTTGAGGGTGTCTGTATAACTGTATGTGTGCATGATCGTCACTGAACACAAGAGAGAAGTGTAGAGGCTGACGGAGTCAGGTGACAGCAACCGTTGGCCCATCTGTTACAAACACTCAAAAGAGCAGCGACAAGTTTTGTGGCATTGAATAGTCCAAAGAATAAGAGGGAGAGGAGGCCAGACAATCATGTTCTGTTTCCATCCACACTCTGAGCTCTTTGGAGCCTCACGCATATCATGGAGTCCATTATTATATGGACCACCAACCTCGTGTTAATGAATTTAATACTGTAAATATAGCAATGGAAGAAGCCTTTTTAATAACCTGACAAGGTTTTTTTTTATTACTGAACTGGGAGGTGTCTGTGCTCTCAGTTCCTCACAGCTGCTCTCATTCTCCTTTTGTAAGGCTGTACCAGACCAAGGGTTTTGTCAGTGTGTATACATACTGTATATACACACTGGGCTATATATATATATATAGCCCACGATGGCCTGCATGTTAGAGAAGTACAGCACTGATAAATGTTAATGATTTGCATCCTAGCTGGAAAGTTTCACCGTGGTTGTTTATAGCCTGCAGCCTGACTGCACCCATGTCCTCACTGAAAGTAGTGAGCTGTGTATTCACTCACACAGGCCCTTCATATTATATGAGGGTGGAAGTCGGTCAGTAGAGTTGGGGTGTCTGGAGTTTTTTTTTTTTTTTTTTTTCAAGATTTTTCACTGATAGGAGATGAGGGCTGTGCCAACAAAAAAAGCTGTGAATTTGTCCCAGACTTTAACATGAATCTGACAAGAGTATATGAAACATAGAAAGTGCTTTCACATTTGTATGTTCTGCAACACAGAGTTCTGCGTTCTGCAGGCGTGAGCTGAGTGCACTGGGGACTAGTTAGACAGCTGTTCACGCTGCTGTCACAGCTGGCCTGTGTGTGTTGTAGCACATGCACCTCTGGTCAAGTGCCAAAGGAATGACAGCAGCTGGATATTGGAGAGTCGGCCTGTGTAGTAGTTATTCCTCGTGAAGGTCCCAACACTGCAGGTATTTCTGTAACTGCTCTACTTTTCATGCAGTATTTTAAAAAAACCTGGCCGTGTCTTGTTGCGTGGCATATGCTGAGATATTGTACATGCCAGAGGTGTTTCTGTCTTAGCCAGGCTTGCGTTCTTTTGTGCATCTGACAGCTGAATGTGGTACTTGTCCAGCTTCTGTTACTGATCGGTCTTCCTCAAGCCAGGGAGCTGTTTAGAGTGGTCTCCATGGCGACTATGGCAACACGAAACGGCACACTATATAGTGTGGATGTCACAGAGAGCAGAAGGAAAGTAGCGTCTGCCGGAGGGAAAATCAGGGTGGGCTGTAATGACACTAATCACAGTGCCAAGTCCTACCATTGATGGTTAGATGGAAATTCGAAGGCTCTCCACTCGGTTCCTGACTCGCAGTTCTTGGCCTCTGATAAATATACGCCTCAGCACTTCAGGGGAAAGAAGACTTTCAGAGGAGGGCAGTGTGCGCTACATTTGTATTGTAATTTGGTATTTTCCTACAGATTTCTGAGGCTCTCACAGCTGAATTTCAGGGAGTAAAACCAAGTACTGTATAAATTCAGTAAACACAGTGTGGTTCTACAGTGTCATAGGGAGCAGATTTAGGTCAATTGTATGGAACAAAATAATCATTGCACTTCAAATTGCAGCATTGCACGTCTCCAAAATTGATTGTTGCTGGCACTGAGCATTAACATTTTTAGTTACAGTGCAGTGACCTCAAATTTGCTTGTGCTTGCAATATTCCCACATCGCGTTTTCAGAGACGAGGAAGAAAAGCATGATGTTGTGATTGATTATCAAGCCAAGCAAACAAAATGCAACCTCCATGCACGAGATTGCAGTTGACATCCTTGCTGGTAGAAGACATCATAGATGTCTCACTCTAGGCTGTTTACATTTGCAAGCATGAAGTTTTGCTGCATGTACAGAAACTGGTTCATGTTTTAATCTGATACATACACGTAAATTGAGAAACTCTTGAGTCATGCTGTACACCCTGGCTAAGTAACACGTTTTTCAGTGACTTTGGCTGTTTTTTTGGAACAACATGCTTCCTCGCCTTGAAGAAAAGGTTCCTTTGTGTGTGTGAATATAGGGTGTTTTATTTTTTTTGCAAGCTTCGAGAAGGCTTTTGAAACCACACTTGTGGTTTTGAAACTGAGATTTGCAACCCACATGGTTTCTATAATCTCTAAGATCTCTCTACAACAGTGTGTGAGAGAGGCTGCAAATGGTAGCCAATGTTTTTTGTTTGTGGGGCAAGTGCGTTACTAGTTGCGCTCACTCCAGCAGACCCGAATCCCAGAACTTCAGATGAGCTCCTATTATTTTAAGCCCAGTTTCTGTACTTGTAGTATTTATCAGAAAGGTGATCCTTTTTTTTCTTATTTATTTTGACAGTGTTGTTCCCTGTAGAGGTCTAGAAAAGCATCAGCTGTTGCTCATTTTATATATTTTGTTGAATTTATTAGAGTTGAAACAACTAGTTAATTGATGGGTCCACACCGAATGACCCCAGGTAACCTCACTGTCGTGTTCCAGTGGAAAGGTGTTTCAAACAAGCTGAAATGATTAGTTGGTAGCCAGATAACAATTAAACTGACAAACAATTTTGGATTTATTACTCATTTAAGTAATTTTTCAAGCAAAAATAATCCTTTTACAGATTCTACATCATTTTATTAGGATTTCCAGGTTTCTTTCTCTTATGTGATGGTAAACTGAATATCTTTGGACTTTAGACTTTGTTTGACAGAAGGAATCTGAGCGTATCATCTGGGTTTGAGTTAATTGTCAGAAGCATATTTCACTGTGTCCTGACATTTTATTGATCATCAGTTAATCTGCATATTACTTTCTCTATTAATCAATAGAGAAAACAGTCACTAGTTGCTGTCCTAACTTTTGACCTTCACACATCCTTCAGATACCTCATATTTACACGTTCAAACCAGAGAGCCGTTCGATGTCATTTTGACCTGTTCAGATGCAAAGTACATCTGCTGTGTAGGTGATAAAGAACCGGGTCATTGTCCTTGTGAATAAACGTGTTGTTTACGCGATGTCTCATTGTGTTCCTTCCTTATGCATTGTGATGGGGTCTCTTTATTTTGCATATACAATGCAAAGCAGGCAGTAAGTGTTTGAGTGGGTGGCTTCTTGCTTCAGTGGCAGCAAACCAAAGCCGGTGGAGTTGTAGCCGCACCAAGAACATTGTTACTAGCGTTACTTTTTCTTTGTCGGCTCACTGGCTCTGCGGATAGATTAAAAAAACAGATGTCAAACTAGTTTTACGTCAGTTGTTTTGGCAGCTGCTTTGACCCCCACACTGCTGCAAAAACATCTAGTTTCTTGTTGCCTTCAGGGTTGATGAGCTGGAATATAGAAGTTGTGATGGTGTTTCCCACCCAGGGGCAGATATTTGATCAGTCGTGTGAACCTGAATAAATGATCCAGTCACTCAACTGGAGGCTGTCTGGAAGAGCTGATCCCTTTCCAGTTGTGCATGCTGTCCGTGAACTGATGTTTTTTTTTTTTGTTGTTTGTTTGTTTGTTTGTTTTTCTTAAGCCTGAGTGACATACATCAGACTGTAATGTCTGACATGAGTGGAATTTGCTTTAATAACTGTTTGAGGAACTGACCTGTGCTTATGTTTTTCTTCATTTCTTTGATTGATGCTTTGGTTTATTGGCAGAAAATAGCAGAAAATGCTCAACATGGTATCAGAGCTCAATTAGAAATAGCTTGGTTTGTCTGTTTGCTGTCATAGACTATAAAAGGAAACAAATATAATCAATAATTCATTAAGGTGGGTTGTTTTATAGATTGTAAACAGTAGTTTATGAAGTGCATCTTGATCTCAGTGCATGGCCATTTATTGTGGGATCATGCATTGTGATAGCACTATTCTCTGATTCCCACTGACCTTGAACCCCATCATGTGTGTTACTCTACATAATAAATGCTAAACCTAAGCCAATAAAATGTAGAGCCCTTTCTGATCAGATTGTCTGGACTTGTGCAGGTGTCTGTGGCCACTGACTGTGGGAAGACTATACAGGCCTAATGCCTGTTATGTAAGGAGAGATTTCAGGGAGCTGAATGTGAGGATGGAAGTTTCCTCCCTCTCTCTCTTTCTCTACACCATGTCTTTCTTTTTGTCTGTGTCGTCTTCACTCACTTCTGAAGGCACAGTGTCCGTCTCTATTTCAATGAGGTGGTCTGTGGGAGTCGCGTTGGAGAGAGAGATCAGTTTGGATACCAAGAAAAACTGAAAAGTAAACTAATTAAGCATTGTTTAGAGTTTCTGAGCTTAGAAAGTCTGAGATCTGCACGTTGCTAGATTTTAAACACTGTTTTAGTTTAAGTTTGTTTAGTTTGAGGGCGATTTCACCAGCACCACAGGGAGATGCATGCTTTGTTTTGTAAAACCCAGATATGGGATAGTGTTGTTTAAACAAAGGTCTATATGATTGCTCATGAGTTGTCAGACAGCGCAGCACCTTTTCACTAATGTTTGTACCTGGCTGTAGGCTACACAGACAGGTACGTCGTCTTTCTCAAACACGCCCTGTACAGGGCTGCTACACGTAGGCACTCTCAGTGACTGCTGAGCCACTGGTATGGTAAACTTAGTTGTGTGTTTGTATAACCCTATTGTAGGAAATTGATTCTTCAAAGTCTGAAACTCTCCCTTCAAAGCAAACAGAGATGAACTCTGCACTGCCAAGATTTCAATTTCAAATTTGAGTCCGACTAGCAGTGCTGTACGTGTAAAGGAAGATTGGTTGTGTTAGATATTAGTAAATCGGTTAGATAATTGTTAGACATTAATGTGTTGAATCAGGCGTGTTAGTAATGCAGTTTAGTAAGATTTAAAGTCTGCTCTAGTTTGTTTTGTTTCAAGGTTAGCAGACAGAATGTTGATTCTGAAAAGTGAACCATAGGTACTTATGACACCAATTCTTTTCCTGTATTAATCTTGTATTAGAATATTATGTCTGAATAAATGAATGAATGCCTTAGCGACACACCATGTGACAACATACACACACACATTGAAATTCTTCATTTTGTTATGACTAGGTAAAAATGCAGCTGCTCAAAGCATGTGGGGCACTAGATAAGAGATGGAGTCTTTGAATTGACTTCATCTGGGGATATTTTTGGTAATCTTTCTGGGTAAGGGGTTAGCCTAAACCTTATAGATGTATTAGGTTCTGTGTGGCGGGGGGAAAAAAATCCACTTTCCAGCGGCATGTGTGTGTATCTGGAAAAGAGAGCAACCTGGGTCGTGTTTGTAATTTTGCTTGTGGTTAAAATAAATAAACCAGCACTAGATGAAGAAAGACGGACTCCTTTGTTATTCAGAGCCGTCCAATTAAAGAACTGGGGTACTGCAGTTGTTCTGTTTATCTGGCCCACCTGTAGTCTGCTTCTGGTTTGTCATTTGAGGTCTCCATGTTCTCTCTCTAGTGCTGGGAGCCACAGTGATTGACCTCACCTCTTTTCAGCTGTCCTTACATGGCCTCTTGATCTATTGGCAGTGTGAAACAGTTCATCTCAGCCAGTTCAGTACAAGAGACACAGAGTATATGGTCAGCACTTTGATGCAGATACATTTGTTGTTTAACTGTACAGCTCAATTTTACTTAATGTTTTGATTGTACATAATGATGCCTGTCAGTAAAGTTGCATGATTTGGTATTACTAACATTAAGTGGCCCTACAGGCTCTTTGGCAAATGCTTAGAAGCTACGTCTGCCCGTGGTTGGTTCACCGGATACAGAGGGAATGGTGCCAGTTGGCGCAGCAGGAAAAACGAGGATGAAAGCACATAATCAGCTCTCAGTGGGAATGTGTAGTCCTCAGGTTTTAGAGCCAGGGTGCAACATGCACAGTACATGTACACATCCACACATTCATCTACATACTGCTGATATTGCTCATTGCTCATACATTCATATGGTCCTGTTTGCAAGACTCTGCCTTGACACCGAGCCACTGCTGTGCAGCAGTCACTTTCTCTGAGCCAGCAGCTCTCAGTCAAACAGGGAAGCTCCCTCCTCCTAACAGGAAGTTTATTCTCTGTCCTCCAGTGACTGATAAAGTGCTTTGCCCTTCCTCTTCATCCACCTTCTCTTGCATGTCTGTGGAGTTATTCTCTGCCTGACTTGCTGTAGCTGAACCACGTCCTGAGGAGTGTACTCGCCCTGCAAAGAAAGTGTGGTCAGGTCATTTCAGTTCAGTTTGTCACATCATACTACTGTTGTCAGCTGTAGGTATACACAACTCGGTCTTTAAAAAGAGTGGCTTTATGCTGCACGCAGAGTTTTACGTGCTTAGCGAGATACTGAACAGTCTTATTTTAGGCATTATTTATGTTTACACCAGCATAGCAGGATTATAGAAATGTGATTTTTTATAATGGTTCCAGTGAATTTCGCAATTGCTGCCCTGTTGCCTGTTAGTCATATTTGCCTATTCTGCCAGGTGGGTGTGGCCCTGTGAGTCAGAGCTGCACATTGTAAAGCCAAAATGTGCAACATTTGTGTTAGCGTTTCCACTTCAGTTGGCTTTGAATTGTGGTGAGCGGAGTAAGTTTTCAGCCTACTTGCAGACTTTGGGATGTTTTCTTGGTTTCTATTTCCAGTTTGATTTTCAGAGACGCACTGCGCCTGTTGTTTTGTTGTTTTCTCATTCCCTTGCTGAGTGAGTCACTTCCTGTCAGGCCCATATCTGTTGCAGAGAACATCACCACAGCTCTGTAACAACGCCAGCTTGTCCCTGTGTTTTGTTTGGTTTTGCACATCAGGAGTATGTGTTCAGTGTTGATACGAGTTGCCCGAGAACAAATTGTTGTCTCAAAATGGATCTGTGCAGCAGACATAAAAAATGTCCCACCCTGTGATTGTCAGTAATTAGCTCCTTTCATCAGACCTCCCTTTTCCCCTGCTTTCTAACTTTCCTGCTCTTTCTGCTCCACTCTCCCCCCTCCTGTCTCTCAGCTCCAGCTACTCCACAGCAGCATTAGAGTTTGAGAAGGAGCACCAGATTGCTCCCGTTTACGAGTCGCCCAGGATGTCACGGCGGAGCCTGCGTTTGCAGACCAGTGCTGGTCACTATGGCAACAAGAGCCTGGTTGATTACTCCCAGAACCCCAGCAGCTACATGAGCACCAGGAGAGAGACACGGTCAGACTAGTAATGTTGGCTTACCAAATAGTATCGGTAAATGTCTTATTTGTGTGTCTGAACACGATTCATACGTGTCATACTCGTATACATTCAACACAGTTTTATTAGTTTAGTGCCAAATCACAACAAAGGTTTTCTCAGGACACTTTACAAAGTAAGGTCTAGACCTTACTATTAGAGGAAAAACCCAACAAATCCCCCTTGAGCAAGCACTTGGCAGCCAAACTCACAGCTCTACCTGTTCGTCTGCTCTTCAGGGAGGTGCGGAGCAGAAGGCAGCAGTCCGCTTCCAATTCCTTGTCTTTATCTCTGAGCCAAGCTGACACACCACGGAAAACCCTCACCTTCTCAGCTGCTAGTACTCCAGTTAACAGCAGCTTTCAGGGGAGCAACACAGTGTGTGATGCCTCTCAGCACACCTCCGTCCTGGATCAGTCCCACCTGAGACAGCGCACCGTCACCACAACCACCACCAGCAGCAGCAGCTCTGTGCCTGTGGATGGTCACTGGGGTCAGTTGTTGAAAGTATAGCTTTTAAAAATCTCAATAAGGAAATGCCTTTGCAAAATTCAAACATTATTTGAGCATCTTTTCATTGAATCCACCATGCAGCATGTGTGTAATTTATTTAGTGAGGGCCTCAGTTCCTCTAGAGGGTATCCTACAGTATTTGAGTGATTCCTTGAGTATGGATTGTTATATACTCTAAATTAAACCAGCCAGCCACGTGTAAAAGAAGAAAAATTAGCTTTCTGTGTTGTTGAATTAATAACTCTTACATCTCTCTCCACATACTCTTCTCCTTCAGGGAGGAGCTCCACAACACACCACGGTTCAGGTGTCAACGGTGATGCCAGTGTGTCAAAGTCACACACGTCGCTTGCAAATGGTTACATCTGCCATGACTGCTCTTTACACTCTCAGACGATGGATTCCTTTATCACACAGTCTTCATCATCATCTCAGGGTGCAGAAGCCTCCACAGATGCCCTCTCCTCATCATCTTCACCACTCACAAGTATTTACTCCAGAGACCGGAGTCAGAGGAACAAGACAGGTTAGAAACTGTCCTGTTGGACTGAAATGTCATATTTACAATGCTGACTGCTGTTCCTCCTTGCATCTGTTTGTTTAAATGTTGAAATTATTGGAGGTGGAAGTTGAAAGACCCGTGCATCCACATCTTAAGTTGTGATGCTGGGAATATAACTGGTACTGATATCTCTTTCCAGGCGTCCTGGTCTCTATGTCAAACATGTGTATGCACTACAGCAAACGAGCCGTGGCTCCCATAGTGTCCTTAGTCACCCTGCTCTTCAACAATGTGCTCTGGCTGGGTTCAAGGGCCAAGAGCACTTCAAGAAAAGGTATACGGCAGGAGACGTCTGTCCTCTTTTTCTTCTTCTGTCTTTTGCAGTGGTAGATTTTTAAGATTCTCAGTGATCTTGGGGGAAAGCTGATAGATTTTAGGTTAATCTTTTTTTGCAGCTAATTTCAACATCTTCACTCCCTGCTGGTTTCTGCCTGAGCAGGCTTCTCCTCATCACTCGGTCATGGTCTGATCTATTTCACATGTAGCCTTATTAGCTTTTCTTTCATTGAGCTTTCCATAGCTTCCTGTCATTATCCTTTAAGGGTATCTCCAGGAGATCTTTTTGTCATCCACTTCACTTCCCCCTCATTCTATCATCCATATACAGTATATTTGTATGTTTCTGTCTCTAACCATGACTGAAGTGAATGTTTTGACTAACGGTCATTGTGTCAGCAGGTGTCCTTGTATGGATTTCGGACTCAATGAGACAAGTTGTGTCCTCCAGTTTGTCCCAACTGTGGCTGTTTAAGCAGACCACTCTCCACAGGATGGTGGGCTACAGGGCTAATGGCTATGAAGGACAAGGAGCCGGCCATGACTGCAAAGGTTCTGACCTCGTCTGCTGCTCTTCTATTAATAAACTGTCACATTTTTCTCCTCCTTAAATGCTTAATTTTCTGTTTAAGAAGAAAGAAGCTTCATATTGGGTTTCTTTTAAAGAGGGATTTTAATTTGAAAAATCTCCATCTCCCTGTTTCTCTCTCCACCCAGCCTCCACTTTCACACTTTTGCTTTCTATTTATGAAGGAGGAAGTGTGCTAGAAGCAAAATTTAAACTGTAGGCCTACTCCAATCAAACCACCATTGCCTGAATTGACCATTTAAAGAAGAACTAATCCCTTACTCGTTGTTAACTCTACAGTTTCTAAGCCCCTCAGATGTGATGTGCAGACAAACTAAATTCAATATTTGGTTAACATGCAGCTATTTCCACCTACTGTGTGTTTAGTGACAGTAGTTTCTGGGTGTACAAGGTCAGTTTTATTTCTAGTATGCTGCCGGCTCTTTTCACAGCTGCAGAAGAACTTTATCAACTCTGAAGAATAAGTTTCACCACATTTCTTTATTCCTCTTTCTAGCAGTTACCACTGTATTTACTTAACTGTTTTCATGCACCTCTAGTTCTCAGAGAGAATAGAGACATAGAGCTCTTCTGCCATCACTTGTTGACGTGTTTAGGTCATCTTCCTAATCCAACATCCTTTCTGTCATAATCCCCCCCCCCCAGCATGTTTTTGTTATGTCAATAAATGTGTTGCTTGTATGTTGCAGCACACTCAAGTTTCTGTGGAAGCATGAATGTGAAGGATCTGGTGACTGAAGATGAATCACATCTCACTTTCAATGGTTCCCTGTGTAAGCAGACACACACACACACACACACACACACACAGACATGTTCTCTCTTTGTCAGTACTCGTTGCCGTGATTGAGTTAATAATATGCATGACCTGTGTGAGGATCGGTGATCAGAGGTTGTGTGAACTGTTTTGACGAGTCAGCAGCCTTTTCACCATCATGACCTGCAGATGCTTCTCTTTTAGTTAAGTCTGTACCCCAGACTTGTTTCCAGAGACCAGTTTAACACCAAAACTTAACATAAGTACCGACTCCAAACATAACAATTCCATGTCCTTGTCAAAACAGTATAACAGATAACAGATGTGACAGAAGAGGCCAGATAGCTGTAGGCAGTTACAGTTAACCACTCACCAAATTAAGAATAATACAAATCAAATACAACAGATGTGAATTAAGAATAATACAAATCAAATACAACAAACATGAATGACACATGCAAAATAAACAGAGGATTGCAGCTCCAACTGGCTGACAGTAGTCAGCTTTTTGGGCTATTAGGTCACCCTGGAGTTTAGGAAGAGCCACGTTCAACTAATGTGACCAGTAAAAAGTGGAGAGAAAAGCGGTTAAAGGCATTTGATAGTCAGGAGACACAGCTGTGAAATGACACCACGGGCAAAGGATTTTCATCATCATGGTGTGTCATCACACATATTGCAGAAGGTGCAGTGTCTGTGCAAGTGGCCCAATGATTTGTTTGTATTTATTTGATTTGTATGCATGCAGTTTATTTTTGTTCTGCTTAGTTCCTTTGCATAATTTTATTTGGTTTTCTTATAACATGTTCGCAAGTTCATGCACACATCATTTGTTTTTGTTTTCTGTTTGCCTGCTATTCATCATTTCCGCTTGGACAGGTGATGACTGTAAAGGGAAGCAGTATTCTGAGACACGCACCGTCCTCCTCACACAGTCCCCCCAGCCCCGAGGCCTAGTGGGGGCTCTGTGCAGCCTCCTAGCTTACACAGGTTAACCAATGTTCCTCAAAAATGTTGCTGACAGTCTGTAAATACTGTTATAAGAATAAGTCTAGGACTAGTACATTTAATACCTGTTTGTAGATCAGGACCTCTCTCATCTACAGTTAATCAATTAAAATTCCCCCCTTTCTTCTTGTCTACCAGGTTACTGCCTCCTCCAGCCTGGTTACTGTGTGGTGAGAGCAGGCAAAGCTTTGGGATCAGGGGTTGGGACAGTGGCTCAGAAGTTGCTCTCACTGCTCTGGATGCTCCTGGCAGCACCAGGTTGGTGGCACTTTTTTCTCCTGCTTTCTCCTGTCTTAATCTTGTTGGGCAGCA